ACGCGCATGCGCAGAAAGTTTGTAGCTTTGAGGTCCGGATTATGGGTGCCCGAATTAACGGCTTTTGACTGTAGTTTCTTTGCTGTATTTTTCTTTTGTATCTTGTTATTCCTTTTCGTCTAGAATGTTAACTGTGTTTAACCTACCATCAACTGAAAAAGAAGCAATGGTTTTTTTTTCTTCAAGTGAACAGAATTTTACATATTCAGGAAAAGTGCAAAATTGGCTACCAAATTATGAAATTATTTATCTGAAGGTAGAGAATTTGGTAATGCAATGTGAAAAACTACAGGGGGATATTCTTTGTGCAGTTTCATGGCTCTTACTCCTTTCTGTTTCATATTCTGTTAGGCTGAAGAACTAACTTCTATAAGATGGTGCAATAGACAGTTAAATGAGGATGAAAATTAGAAAATATCAATATTTGATTCTGTAATAGCAGGAGCTGTTGAATTATCACTAAAAAGAAAAATGTTATCCCTCTCCCAAATCAGTGCAAATTTTCATTTTTTGGGGGTTCCTGCTAAATTAATTATAAATGTCACTAAATTTCATGACAGTGCATGCTGGGGATGCTTTGACAAGGAAGTACCAAAATAATATTTAAATAATATATACATGTATCAAATGTTTTGATAAAAATCTTGATTTTATAGGAATTTTTTTTTGCATGCCAGGCTTAGTTAAAATGTACTTGGACACGTAGTCATGTTCAAGGCTACATGGGCATATGCCCCCAGGGGAACTTTTTTTCTCTTTGCCAGCAGCAACGAAATTAAACTTCATCTAAAGATAATTATTATCATTATAAAATTATATCTGAAGTTGTGTGTTGTATACATGTAGCACAGAATAGGAATTTTTGTATTTGTGACATATATTATAGAAGTGAAATGCTCATGAAAACTTGAAATAGATTTTATAGTGAATTAATAATTTGTTATTATTCATAAATTGAAAGTTAGTTTTTATGAAGTTCATAAATTGAAGGTTAGTTTTTATGAAGCATGAAAGTGAAGGGCTTCATGAAAATGAAATACCCACCACATAGTCACAGATTTATGGGAAAGAAGAAAATCCTTTTTTTTTCTTTCTTAAAAATATGATACTTAGTATTTAATCAAATATTAAAACTTGTATTTAAATAATTTGAAACTGTTCTTAGTATTTAATATTGGGAGAATTTGAAACTGTTCTTAGTATTTAATATTGGGAGAAGAATCAAGATATTTCTTTCAATTAAAATAAATAAAAATAAAAGAATTTCAACAACTCTGTGTTAAATTCCACATTGCATTTGCATATTTTGTGATTGGGAATTTTGTCAATACTTTTGATGTGAACATTGAGTATGCAAGGTTCATTCTGATTTTGTGTTTTGCTGCAGTGGGATGTTTATCTTTTGAATATTATAATGTGATTATGAACCATTATATTTTTTTATCAACAGAAATAGCACAGGGTCTGTGGCAGTGCTTGTCTTGTATGGGTCAGTCATTGAGCCTGTAAAACAGTCTTCTTCAGGTTTACTTCTGTTCTTCTCATTCTTCACTTTTCTCCAACAGTTCTTAAGTGCTGCAGTGAAGTATCATGAAAACTAGAGTAGTATTTCATCATATTTCAACTGTGCTAACATTGATGGAAAAAAAAAAAAAAAAAAAAATCTTGTGTGACCAGATTGTTATAATTTTTTTAAAATTCAGTTTGCTACTTTTATACTTCAGAGTTGCTTGGGCAAATAAATGTGCATCTATTTTATTTATCTCACAGTCCGTAGTTAGTTGAAGTGTTATTAATTGATTGCGAGAAGTTATTTACAAGGTATGAACTGATGACCTGGGTCTGAATTAAATAGCAGAACAGTTTTCTTTTCTGTATTTATATTTCCTCACTTTTCAAAGAATATTTTTTCATTATCCTGCCACTTCCTGCTACCCAACCCTTCAAGCGTTTGGTCCTAACTTATTAAAAAGCCCACGAGTAAGTGATATTTTCTGGATTAGAATTCTAAAATGTCCCTTCTACTTTAACCTGACTCTTTCTTTTCTACTGTTTGTATATTACTTTGTCTTGGCTTATTTCAAATTATATGTTTGTATACTTAAAGATATCATGATAGATTTTTTTTTTTTTATGTATTATTATTGGCTGATCGAGTTTTAGTTCCATTTACATCACCAGCATCATGTAAAAGTCGTATGACATGGTTAGTCTCAACATAGCGTTCTGCATTGCATTGTTTCGAGACTAATCCATGGCTTTGAGATTCATGTCATTCAAGACTAATCCAATATCTCCCATGGAATACATGTTACCTTTGTTTCTTCTTGTTTCCATTGTCAAAACTAGCAAATAGTTCAAATAGCTAGATCAATAACAATAATCAAAGCTCTAGCACTTTGTGGTAGAAACTTCTGTAGCATGCATGTTTTTAATATATTTATATGTATCATCAATTGTAGATTTTATTTTGCTCATATTTGCTCATATTTAGAGAATGGGCACATGATCATCTTGTTATAATTCTTAAATAATAGATATATCATTCACTTCGTATTTCAGTATATGATAGAAAATTTACATGTACTGCTTTCTCACTGGACCCTTCAGATTTATGTTTTGATACTCTTCAGGAGTGAAAATAACTGAAATATTTTATAAGAGCTGCATTAATTAGATGAAAAAATGAAATTTTATTGGTTGAAAAATCATTAAAAATATATTATATATTATTATTCATTAAAAATGTATTATTATTTATTAAATGTAGTTCTATTACACAAATAATTAAGTTATGAAATTAAGAAATCCAGTTTGTTTGCATTATAACTGTGGGGCAGAGAGCTTTGAGTTCATTTAGTGCAGTAAGTGCTTTGTTAAAGTTAAGGTGTTTATTTTGTGTCAGAGTCATTTTTATTTTGGGTCCATAAAAAAACATAGATTCATTGTTAAAAAGAATTTAGATTTTTTTCAAGCTGTATGTTATGAAATTTAACAGATAGTTGTACAGTTAGACTTTTATATTTTGACTTAGAATTGAAAAGAAGAGGTATCCATTTTTTGGCGTGTATTGATAGTGTTATGAATTTTGTACATAGATAGATAATTTTAGTGAAATTATATGTAAAATTGTAGTATTTTTCAGTATAATTTAACATAGAAAGCTTGAGAGAAATGATGCTCTGCTGGAAAAGTAAGAATGCAGGGGCAAGTCTGTTTAACCTTTGAGTAAATGACTGTCTTGCTAAATTGCAAGATATCTTTAAGCTGGCAACAGTATTGGCGAGAAATAAGTCAACTTGGTGACCATTTGGCAAAATTTGGTTCCTATACAGTACAAAGTCTTTAATTTGGGACATCCGTAATCCGGAATGGTCTATAATTCGGACCTCAAAGCTACAAACTTCCTGCGCATGTGTAAACGCATGCGCATTACTTAAAAATATTATTTTATGTTTGTCATAAAGTTAAGGTCATGTACCTGTTTTTTGGGGAATGCTTAGCAAGTCTGAAATGTATTTTTTGTTGTTTTATATGACCAGCATTTAATTAGTAAAACATTGGCAGATGGTAATTAAATGTTTTCTGCATATATCATATTATTTACATTGTAATATTTAAAATTTATTTTGCAGGTAATGGAATAAAATGAAAATTCTTTTCTTTTAAAAAATTTGTTATTAAAACATAAATTTATAATTTTACTCTTTCCATTCATGTATTTAATAAAACTATGTAATATTTATGTGCATGTGCAGATGATAATATAGTTTGGGAAAATATAAAAAGTAAGATATGCTGTCTACATATATACATGGCACATTTGCTGTTTCATTTAAATTGTGAAGTACATATTACATGGGATGTTTCCATAGTTCTAGGAATTGAGCTGTAGTTCAGTTCATTTAGAATTTTATAGGCAACACGATCAGCCAGAGACTAGTTTTGACATGTTTATGCAGCTATCCTTTGCAATATTATATTGTTCCATTCAGTTGTTAGCTGATGCAGCTGCATTTTGGTAGCACTGTTTTTGCAACTTTGGAAGATGTAAAAAGCAATCATCGTCTTTTTGTGGAAAAAGGGTATAAAAACTTCAGAAATTACTCAACATCTGGGAAAACCTTTACAGGGTTTTCAATTTGAGAGTTTAACCATGCCTAAGGAGAGGAGACGGCAAAAAAGTTTTTGAGGATGGCTATAAATTTCTTACGGGACAGTGTACTCAATTAAGTGTGGATTGTGTTGGAAAACTGCATGTTAGTATTAATGAAAGTAGACAAAATTAAAAAAAAATATGTATTTCCTAGAACTTTGGAAACATCCCTACATATTAAGAATTAAATATTTCTGTTTGTAGCAGAGTATTTTAAACTAATTAGTGTTTGAGTCATTACTTATGTTATTAATTTGGGAACATAAATTCACATGCAATCAGAATAGTTTATGATATTTACATATTTGTGATTATTTCATAAATTAAATTTTTGAATATGTGATGTGCAACTTTTTGTTTACTGAAAAATATTGCCGGGATTGAATGATGATTGTCATTTAATTTTAAATTAATTTAAAGTAATAATCTGTTTGCTTTATTTAATGTTAAATAATTAAAAAAATTTTAACTTATTATTTTTTTATAGCATATGGTATCATTGCCTAAGAATATAAGAATATATATCATAGCCTAAGAATGCCTAAGTTTTAAATTTTACTTTAGCATCTTTTTTTTCTTCCATTGTATTGTGTGATATTTATTTTTTTCTCACTAGTATGTCAGCTAATGTCCTTGATAAATTTTCTGGAAGATTAAAAATATTATGTATTTTTTTCTAAAACTCTATTTTGAAATTTAAGGTTAGTCTGCATAAGTATAAAAGCTAAATATAATATGTTTATCCTTTTAAATGACCCATTTTTTAAAGTAATTTGTATAAGAAAAGTATTTGTAGTTCTGGTATATTGTGACTTGTTTCTGTAAATAATATATTTTGTTTTAGAATAAAAGAAGAAAATGAAACCGTATGTCATAGGAAAAACTGCAAAGCAGAAACTGTGTAAAAAAACTGATACCTTCACAAAGGAGAAATGTGAAACATAGTTCCAATGCATCACAAGTTTTGCAATAATCGGTAATTTTAATATTTCTTTGCTTTATTGATTAATTATTGCCTGATGTTCATGTAAATTATAGACATCAGATGCATAAGCTAAAATTCTTCACTACTAGTCGGTTATAATTGTTTGATTAAGCTAATTAAAGGCAGTAAAAGGCAAGATTGAAATTGTTGGTTAAATAAATAAGAATAAATTATAAGGTAAGCTGGTGAGAATTTTATTTCATAACTTAAAAATGTCAACTATAAACTTTTATTAAAACATGTATTTTTGTAGAAGTATTCTAATAATATAAAAGTTTTGAAAATGAATTTTGAAATATAATTAAAAAGTACCTATTTTTTTGTATCCTATTTTTCCTCCACATTTTGAAAAAAAATTAATAATATTTGGGACAGCATAAAATGAGTTACATAATTTGGACATTTAAAAAAAAAGGCCGCAACACCAGACTTGGAAACTATCTGGTGAACAATGGCGATGTTATGTGAAAAATTATGACAAGTGATTTAAGTTTTTTATATCCTATATTCGTAATTTCTATCTCTTTATTATCTAATTAAATAAAGAATGACCTGTTCTTAAACTTATGCTGGAATGATTAGAGACATCCTTGCCAACTTTCATGTTCAGCAGGATTTCATAATCGGATCAGATCAGATCTTTTACTTTCATGTTTAAGGCCCAAGAAATGCATTAGCTTTTATGTCTGAAATACTTTTTTTTTTTTTTAAATCTTGTATCATTTTAAATATAAGCTTTCGGTATTAAGATATAATGATTGTTTTTATAATTTTAAAGAGGAAATTTTTCACATTCATTTAGCTTTTCTAGCATGAATTCATTTTTAATATGCCTAGTTATTGGGAATTTTCATGTATCCAGAATTCTACATTTCCCAAGCTTTCTGAATAGTCGAACTTTTATTGTAATATAAATTTTGGGAAATAATGCCATGTTCTCAGTGTTTATTATTCCATAAACTGTGCATTTCTGAAGACATAAATGCTATTTACCCCCTAATACGAAGTTAAGACATTCTAGAGAAATATAATAAGTTTCATCCATGGTGTTTCCCCTAGACCTGACATTCAGACCCAGATCATATGAACGTGAAATGATAATGCCCATTTTAAAGGCAATTGATATCATTCTCCAACATCCGAAATAATTATATCAATTTTCAACAATTCTAGAATTTTCTTTAACTGAAGTGCATCTTTCATTTCAATAATTACACACATTCACAATTGTACAATTTCAGTAATTAACATAATTCACAGGAATTCTCAGATGTACATTTATTGTATCAGATAGTGAATCTGTTTAAATCCTTTCAAAATTTTTCTATTTTAAAGGAAATTTCCCCCCCTTTTTTTTTCTTTTTCTCTTCTGTATGCAGTAATAATTAAGCAAAAATTAAAATGCTTAGTGTATCAGATTTTGAAAGTTAAATTTGAGTTTTTTCCTTTACTTAGAAACAAAATTATGAAACAGTACAGATAAACAATAAGTATAGAATGAAAATTCTATATATCGAAGCATAGTTTAGTAATTTAGTTCTAAAAAAGAAGCATCACTAATTTATGTTTTTATTTCTATTTATCCCTCTTTTGGGGCAGCAATTTTACATATGTATTAGGAAAATAATTTTTAAAATTTTATTTTTTTAGCATTCCCATTTTTTCTAAATATACAGTATTACTATATTTTTGTTTTGAAGTTCAGTAGAATCTTATATTCAATATACTGCATAGAATAATTATGCTGTGTAAATGCTAAATAAACTGCACACATAAATAATAAATATATACAGGATGTTTTTTTTTTAAACTGATGGTACTCTGTATCTTGAATTATCAGCCGCAAAGCTACGAAATTTTGTACAGGGACTATTGACAACATCAGAAAAAGGAATCCGTGAAAAAAATTTAGTTCCAAAAGTTGCCGATAAGGGGAATATGGTGCTTTTGATCTAGATTTTAACTGCACGATAAAATTTCTGACCACTTTAAAAAGTTACAGTAAACAGATAAAAGAATAACAAAGAATTAATTTTTCCCACAAATGTAATAAAAAAATAACTTCTGCAAATGGTTACAAATTTAAAAAAAAAAAAAAATGTGATCGTATCCTCTGATACCGGTTTTCGTCCTCTACCAGGCTGAGTTGCGAGAGAACCTATTTTTTAAAATTTTTTAATCATTGCTTTCACTGCATTAATTGATAGAGCTCCTTTATGTAAATTGTTTCTACGTCTAAATTCGTGAAGAGCGGCTGCTGCATTGGATTAATTAATACAAAACAACTTCACAAGTAATGCATGCTGTGCTAAAGTGAGATGCATTGTACAAAGCAACTAATACTTGAAATTATTTTCAATGACCCGTTTCTTTTTTTTAACTCAAAATACTGGCGCTGGTGTCGACTACATAATCGCAATTTGCAATTACGATTATGTACAATAATTGCAATTTTTTTCCAGTGTTTTATGCAAAATTTTAGCTGTCTTAAAGCGTCACATTTTCCCCTATCGGCAACTTTTGAAACTAATTTTTTTCACGGATTCCTTTTTCCCATGTCGTCAATAGTACCTGTACAAAATTTCGTGGCTTTGTGGCTGATAGTTCAAGCTACTGAGGTCTCTGAGTATCGTCAGTTAAAAAAAACACCCTGTATGTAAATTTGTATAATTGCCACTAATTTTGACAGTCACATTTAGTTGGGGCGATTTCAATTTAAATCTGCATCTGTTATACTGATTACGGGTGATGTTATGTTAATTAATTAAGTCGTAACAATTATCTGCCTGTGGATAGGGATGCCTTTTTTGAGCATGTTGTGAGGGAAACTGCCTCATATCCACACTGTCCATGGGGGAAAATTTCCATGCAGACAACTTTAAAATGAGACTTCTCTATATCTGGCAATCTTTGCCCTGTGAGATTGCCACTAATTTGTTTCCTAGATCCTTGCTAAGGTGCAATCTTATTTTCTGTGCCTTAGGGTGTTCTTCGTACATGGCCTTCACCACCATGATTCCAGTATTTGGATGTCAGTTTGTTATTACTCCTGTTCTGCCTCAAGTTATCATCTGGACAAGCACTGTCTAGATGATGCACTGCTTTCTGGACTTGAGCAGCTGATGGAATGGCAGTCTTTACGAGTTGCTTGCTGGGCTGCCTCTAAGTTCATGGCCTAAAGCTCTCTTAGATCCCTGACATCCATCATTCATAGTATTTTCTGTATCTCAGGATCCTGAATGCCATTGCTGAAATAAAGCAGGGACAGGATTTTTTTGTTTCTGTTGGGCAGTCCAAAAAGACGAGACAGCCTTTCAACATCTGTGGCGAGCTTCTGGAGTGTGTCCTTGTGCTTCAGTTTGTGACTGAAGCCTGCTATAGTCTTTTAAACACTTCCTGCCAGTTCTCAACTACAACACCCCGAATAGAGCTTTGAAATCTAGCCTCTGGTGTTCGGACAAAGTTTGAAGGTTATCCGCTGTGTCTGCTTTCATAGAAGCAGCCAGGTGTCAAGCCTTAGCTTGGGAATCCTATCCATTTGCTTGCATCACTGTAGAAAAGTGAGTTTTGCACTTGCCAGGAGGTCTTTCCATTGCATGTGGATGGCTTTAGAGAGGGTTGAGAAAATGTGTCTAGGAATTTAAAAGTGTCAGAATTGTTTCCTGCTGTAATTATGGATTTTTTTAAATGTCAACTTCCTCGGTGATCGCAGCAGAAACTGTGTAATCGGGTTGTTGTTTGACATCAGAATCTCTTTCTTTGAATTGTTTGATGGCAGAAACTGTTTCTCTGATCTGTTGTTCAACAGCAGAAACTCTTTCTGCAATTTGTTTTTGGTCTGCAGAAATTTGTTCCTCAGTTTCTCCAACTCCAACAACTATTCTGCCTTCCATAGCTTCAAATATGTTTTCTATTAGTGCAGTAATTTCTCTTTTCATTTCCTCTTAACTTGCTTCAGTCTTTTCTTGAACTGACTTGATGGCCCCTTCTGTCTCTTCTTGACCCACTTTTATCTCTTCTTGGATATTTCATCTTTTCTTTAATGGACTTGAAACCTCCTCCATTACCACTTCCGTCTTTTCTCAGCCTACCTTCATATCTTCTTTAATATATTCTTGAACCACTTCATAGCTTCTTTAAATGCAGCAAAGGCTGTCAGCTGTTATATTAGTTGCTCCTCTATAACTGTTATCACCAGCATTCAATCTCATTTCTGACACCAAAAATTGTTGTGTGTGTAGGGGTTTGTAATGGACTGAAAGCACACAGAACTAATGATAGCTTGATAGAATTTAATTTTTCTCCCAAAAAACTTTTCAGTTCTGGAACTTTTCATAAAAGTGTTTGTATAGCTCTTGTCTCTCTTCATTACAGAGCACAATCGGTAGTAAACTTCCACTAAAAAGAAAGTTAAGCACAATGCTCCTCATAGCGCATCTAAAAGACGAACCTCTCACTGAGATCTCAATACTCAAAGTCAGCTCTGAATTAACAAATGAGAGCTGATGCAGTCTCCTGTCGTATATAGCTGTTGCCTGGCTGCCAGGAAATCTCTAGTACCTTTCATGTTTTGAAATTACTGGAAGACACATAAGGTTACAGTTACATATAAAGGCTGGAAAGAGTTTCTGTTACATGTAGGGATCAATTACTGTTGTACAGGGACTAGATAAGATATTGTCAAGTTTGGCAACTTTTCAAAAAATGTGGTGACAAAAATTAGTTTCTAAAACCATCCCCAGTTTACCTCAGTTTTAAATAGACCTGCCTGCCTTTGTAATCTAATTTTTCCATCATAGCTTCACTGTCTTCATACTTTTCCTGTTACATCATATTACAATTTCTTATATATAATTTCACTAAAATTGCTTACATTTATGTAGAAATTCATTACAGTATGGTTATTTACTTTCCTCCGTAGTTTTTTTAATTACTGTTGGATTAACTGCGATTTTAGGTTAACTATAGAGTTCATCCTGTGTATTGTTTCAGTTAATTGGGAGTCTACTGTATTTTCAAATTAATTAAATACTTTACTTTTTTATAAAAAATTGGCAAAGAACCCTTTTTTAAGTAAATTTCAAATTAATTTTAAAATGTTGAATCTAATTTTATAAGATGTGCTCTGTTTGTGTTGTCATCATGAAACTTTTGTTTCATCTTTGAGCAAGAATTAGGGATTTAATCTCATTAATGATTCATCTTATTTATAAATACATAATTATGACAGTTATGGATGCAGAATTATTACATTCAGTTGTTTTTAAATATTAAATATTTTGAAGCATTAAATATTTGTCATTTAAGTAAATTCTAAGAGTGTATCTTGAACATAATTAATAATTATAAAAATAATATGCATTTAAAGCATTCAGAATTGAATTTACCTATGTGTTTTATAAATTAAATATAATTCTTAATTTTGTAAGGTTAAAAAGCAGTTGAGTGTACCAGAACACTGTATTTGGTTATTTTTCTCAAGTTGGATTTCCAGTAGTTAAATAGGTTAGCTGCTTGATATTTTCATGATTCCCATCACATCTAAAGGCAATACAGTAGAAAGTCAGAAATTGATTGGAACTTCGATCGTTCCAAGTTTTAGATTATCAGATGAAATCTGCTAAGATGACGTGGAAATTATAAAATTAAAATATGAAATGATTCCTTGAAGTATTTATGATTTTAAAGGAATCAGAATTTAGGCTCATTATTTACTTGTTTGCTTTGTTAAATATTTCTTTTAATTTAAGGTATTTAAGTTACTTTATATAAATTTCTTGTTCAGTTACAAAATTCAATTTTTTAAGTTTTGTAATTGTCAAGTCAAAAATTTCCATTAAATTGTCAATGGAAATTTTTTTGTTCTTAGCAAGCTCTTTATCATTTCTTCCATGTAGAACCATCTTACAGTTTTCGAGAAGGGGCTTACTTTAGATGGCTTAATGCTTACCTAGCATCTGTTATACATTGTTGGCAATTAATGAAATTAGCAACAAAAAGCATGGTGTTCTGCTAAATTTTGTCCTACTTTTAATGCACACTGTGTAAGTTAAACCTGAATTATATTAGTTATTTATTATAATTACATCCATTTTTGGCATATATTTAAAGCTTATTTGGGATCTGAATAAATAGGTTCCCACTCATACTTTGACTTATCTAAATAACAAATCAGTTATTCTTAATTCAAACAGGTCTAAATATAATCTTTCAGCTTATGAATATAATTTACAAAACCTATTTTTTTGCACATAGAAAGAAATTTCTGTTAAATTTTTTTTTTTTGGCAACACACTATGCTTCGTAGTGCAATTGCCTGAAGTCTATAATTGTCACCAAGTATAATGTCAACATAAAAGGTTATCATGCTATTTGGTATTTAACACGTGACTGCCACAGCAAAATATTGTAAAATAATCTCTATTTAATTCTTGTGTTTTCTTGACCCATTTACCCTAAAAATCAGTTCAGTACTTAGTTTTTGTTTGAACTTGTTATAATTTTGTTTATTTTCACATTTCATTTTCACTTGCATGATTTTAAACTTCTATATTTTTTGTAGTTATAAATAGATTACAACTTAATTCATCATAAAGTAATACAAAAGTTCATTGTCTTGATAGTTAAAATTAATAAAATTAGACAAATAGTATGTTACAATACAAATAGTAAAGCAGCTTATATAACTAAAAATGAACAACTTAATGAATGTATAACATCTTAAAGTGTGCCACTTGTATTCTTTCAATAACAGCACAATCCCCTTTAATTAAAAATTTTTTTGCTCTTATATCCACACAATAACTACTTAGTTACTGTAGCAAAATATAATAACAATTTATGGAAAAGCTTCTAGAAACCAAGAATGCAAAGCAACTTTCTGAGGCCGCAGAAATAATTATTAACCATATAAATATGCTCCAGTAACTCACATTGCTTCAAACAATATAAAACCTGTGAATCACATTCAGTGTACATGGCTCCAAAAAGCATGGCTGCTGAGTTCAAGTATGGCTATCAATGATGCACATGGCAGTCAAGGTGTTAGTTACAAATACAGTCAAAAGTTGTTAATCCGGACTCGTCGGGACTTCGGCGATTCCGGATTATCGATTTTTCCGGATTATAGATCATCAGTTTAAATCTCGTAAGATGGCATGCAGAAATTCTAAAATTAAAAATATGAAACCGTAATTTAATTTATGAAATAAAGAACAATTATGATCTAAAGGGTATCAAAATTTACAAAAAAAAAAGCTTAATATTTATTTGTTTACTTTATTAAACATTTCTTTCAATGTAAGTTGTTTTAAGTTTTTTTTGCTTCGTTTTCATGTGATAATACTTTCTCTTTAATTCTATAAACAGACATAATTTCTTGTTCAGTTACAAAGTTCCGCTGTTCAAGTCCGTTATAATTGCTGTGTCGAGAACACCGACTAATTTGTCAATCGAAATTTTTTTCGTTTTCAATAACCTCTGTCACTTTTCTTTGCTATCGAAGCGAATTATAATGACGAGGAACTTGTTTTAAATCATATCAAAGACGGAGCATATCGAGATGAAATACTACATTTGGTAAGGAATTATAAGCCAAATAAATAAAAACATCGCTGAAGATAAGGATAGTGCTTGAGAGATCAACTTCCAATTCATTACGCGCCCGCCCGCGCAGCGTTCCTCCCGCCGAGCAGCGTGAAATTGATAAACAGATTTCAGATTTCAAAACATACTTTCGCTTTAGATCCTTTCATATTAACAAATATTATATCGGAAATTCTATTTGATATAATCGAAAGTTTAATCTACTTTTATAAATTGCTCTTACAGTCTGCAAAAAAAATAATAAGCCGGATGATAAAATTCGAAAATTAAGGAACAACACGCAATCATCAACATTAACTGAAATAGATAATTAGATAATTTTAGCTTATACGTCCATTATACATAAAACGCGCACGCGAAAACGTATTCTGCACTTGCGCACACTCATATGCGCAGTCGTAAAAGGTCTTATGCGCACGCGTAAACGCCTATGCGCATGTGTCAACGCGGCGCATGCGCAGAAATTTTTTAGTTTTGAAGTCCGGATTATAGATCATTCCGAATTATGGGTGTCCGAATTAACGACTTTTGACTGTATTAACGAAAAATTGTGTTAGACATTGCGTGAGTCATTTCTCAAGCTGCCATAAATTGATAGTCATGTGGTGATGACAGCAAAAACTAATAAAAAGTTATTGCCAGATTGGCATTAGAGATATAAGTTATTCAGTAGGTGCAAAATCAACGATGAGCTTTGGAAAATGTTTCAGTTTGAGATGTATGTGTAGTAGAAAGGTGGCTACAAAGCCAACAGATTGATAGTGTAGATTTAAATAATTAATGACCATGTTTCTTTAATATAGAGGTGTTTTATTTAGTGCTGAATTTAAATTAAGAATCGGAACCTTTCACATACATTATCATGAAAAAGTGTCTACCGTGCATGCATGGAGCATTTTAAACATATTGAGACACTATTTTTGGAATCTAATTCTTTCTCACTTTTTGCAAAAGATTAAGAAAAAAATGGTGGTGGTCTGGAGGTTGAGATATTAGATCATTCTGGAATAGGACATCTGGATTTTGGCTGTACTGGCCAGTTTCCTTCAGAAAAGCCCTGTACTTAGTCCTCTAACTAAGGTAGATAATACTCAAATGAAATAAATTAAATTAGAAATTAACATGTACTTATGGTATTTATCTCTCTCAGTATTTAATCTAATTAATGATAAATATGTAAAAGTAGTTTTATCAATAGTGGAGCTTGTAAATATGAACCAGTTTTTAAGAAATTCTTCTTGAAGAGATTCTCTGAAGGCTAGTAGTTATTGAGTGCTTTGCTTTAAAGATTATTTTGCTCAGTTATCTACCACAATAATGTATTTTGTTGTTGATAGTGATGAAAGTACTTAAATTAGTTTATTGAAATTTAGTGAACAAGATGATTCTGTGTATTATAGTTTATATGTTAAATTTCTTTTCTCTCTCTTTATTGTTATTTTTTAATTAGAGAGTATTTGTTAATCATGAGAAAAGATTTCAAACTAATGTTTGCTTTAAAATTTTTGTTTCTGATTTTTAGGTTTTGCATCAGTTTTTATCCTTATCATTAAAGTCAGCATTGTGATTTCTGAGGTTGGTAAATTATTATGTTTCTTTCCTGAAGTAAATTTGAATTTCTTAAGTTATAATTGTGTTATAATAAAACCAGTTTTCCCACTTTGGCGCATTGCATTTGGAAAATGATCATATTCATTATGCATTGAATTGCATTTAATACTGCTATCTGTTATTAATTGATTAAATTTATGGAAGTTTATCAAGAGTTCATAATAAAAGTACTTTTCCCTTTTATTATAATTTTTTTTAACCTGTTATGTATATTTTTTCATCATTTCTGTTTCTTCTGGAATAATATCTGTTTTTTTGGGGGGGGAGTGGAGAAGGGCCATAAGTGAAATAATTATGACTAATGTCTTTAACATTGTTGTGATGAAGGTGAAATGCGTTTAAGTTTTTATGTATGTCTTTAAGAACAGTCTGGGATGGGGATGTTCAAACCTATGGAGCTTCTGGATCATATAATACCCCCCCCCAAAAAAAAAAGTACCAAGTGTTTCTTACGTGACAAAATGTGCCAGGTATGGGATATGTAATATAATTTATTTATAGCAGCTGATAAAATCTTTACATTTTAACTATGAAATATATTTATGATGAAACATTACATTTTCAATATGAACATTAAGCCTGCAATACATATGTCATCTAGTCTGATATACACTGAAGTGCCACTGAATTAGGGATAGCTAATCAACAATGAGTTCAGCCTCCTGTGGCCTTTATAATGGCTTTCAAATGACGAAGCATAGATTCAGTAAGTTTCTGGAAGCATTCTACGGGAATGGCTTGCCAAACATCGGATAGAGCTGTTTATAATTTAGGAAGAGTCGCTAGTGTTGTGTGATGAGGTTTCAAACCTTTCTCCAAAATGTCTGAAAGATGCTCAGTAAAATTTAAGTCGGGGCTTTTAAGTAGCCAATTTATAACAGAGAAATTAGAAGAACACTTATCCAACCAGACAGTAGTCAACCGGGACCTGTAAGAGGTGCAGTTGTCTTGCTGGGATACTCCATTTCTGTGTGAATGACTGGACAACATAAATGGATGGAGATGATCGCCCAGCAACTCTATGTACCAAATCATGTTGAGGGAGGTTGGTACAAGTACCAAAGATACCAAACACTGTCAAGAGAAAACATCCCAGACCATGATTAAACCATCATGGCCTTGTACAGGGTTCATGCTTTCATGAGTCTGAAGTCATATTCTCAGACTCACATTGGTATTAATTAGTCAGAATTGAGACTCATCACTCCTTGCTACTCATTTCAAGTCCACTAGAGTCTATTCTTTTGCCCAGGCAAGAAGTGCAGCTCGATGACATGCATTCAGCAAAGGGACTCTCATGAATCTACGGTTTCTGAAGCCCATATGGTGAAGCCAAGCGTTGCACGATCCTTTTTACTGACTGTACGACTGTCGCCTTGATTCAGCTGGGTGGTAATTTGAGGTAATATTTGGCTTCATTGAGTATGTACAATACGGCTGAGCCGTCTCACACCACACTTATTCTAGGTTAATTGTCCTTTGTAATTTGCCCGATGGCTAATTCTTTTTTGCACCATCCATGCATTCTCGATATACTCTTGACATTGTCGACCTTGAAAATCCTAGCCTGCTGAGGATTTTGGAAATTGAATGGCCCATGCGTCGAGTGCCTACTATCTGTCCGAGATTGAAGCTGTCTAAATCAGAAGTTTTACTCATACTGGCAATTGAAACGACTGATTAACAACAACCATAGTACTAGCTGTATGTGCATTTACCCCAAATTCACGTGAGCACAGCTGACGCGCTGGGCTGTAAAATTTGCATAGCCATGTGTATCTCTAATTCAGTGGCACTTCAGTGTATGTGGTACAGTTGTAGAAGAATTATAATATTTATTTAAAATATTTATTTTTGCTTTGCTTTTTTTTGATTTAATTGAAAGATACACTTTAAAAAAATGATATTGCAAGTAGGAACTGTCTGTGAAGTATTAGAAATTATAATTTTTTTAGTAAGTGCAATTTATAAAAGTCTGTTTGAATAAATTATCTGTATGACTCATAAATCATTGTGATATTTATATTCCTCTTGCAAATTCATGGGTAAGTTGGATGTAATCCAAGAGTAGAGTTAAAAGTATGTTAAAATGCAATTGGTGATTTCTGAAATCTTAGAATCTTCAAATATATATGTCTTTTGATTAGCAGTTCTTATTTTTCATTAGTTTACATTATTTTATACAACAGCGCTTCAGAATGAAGTATATTATTGTTTTTAATATAAGATTGCTGCAATTTGAATTTAATTTTATATATTATCATTCTTTGAACTGTTATTTATTAACTGCTTTAGGCTTTAAAAATGCATGTTCATTTCGTTTAAATAAACAGTGTGTATTTTTTTAAAGGTCAGACAATTGACAGTGTGTCTTTTACCTTCTGGCTTCCTAATACGTTCTATATGTACAATTAAAACAACTGAGTGCAGAGGTCGAGTTGAGTTGAGAATCATTTATTGATTGTTTATAATTATAAAGAGAGCAAGTCAGTTCTCAATCAGTCTAATATGCAACATACGAGCACCAGGACATCCATACATTGTTAAATGACAAAATGTAGTTACAACCTATTTATGAGATAGGCTTAGCATAAATGACTTTGAATTAAGAAGATATTCCAATGCTCATGAGCAAGGATGTTTCTTCTCAAAATCTGCATTTGGTAAAGTTTATGATTTAAGTAAGCAGCCATATTCACTAAATAAACTTTCTTTTTTGCTATTTTCTTTTCTTTTTTGTTATAGAGGGCTTTGTTGCTAGCTACTTGTAAATTCTCGAAAATTCATTGATCTGTTTTTGTTTCTGTTGGCTTTCAGTTAGTTGCAGCTGTAAAATGTGAAATGTATTCAATTGCTGAACACACTTCTGAAGAAATAAAATTTATTTCAGTTAAAGATTTTCTTGCATTCAGTACTAATTTGTATTTTTGTCCTTGCTTTGAAATAAAATTTACTTTTTAATTAATCTAAATTCACGAACACGAAGGGAGATCTCATAGCTAATATATAAAAATACACATACTTATATACATACTGCCAAAAACGTTATTGCAGTCTTGCAGATGAAGCTAATTAAAGTCTATACATAATGGTAGTATTGAAGAATGCATATGAATAAAGTATAAATTTTTAATTTTTTAAATAATTAAATAGTTGCTTCTTAAGCATAGCATATTATAGTATAAATATAAAACAAGTATCAAAATCATTTTCTTTCTCTTTTATTTCTTGTTGCTGGTCTTTTTTTTTGTTCCATTATGGGAAAAGTTAGTAAACTTCTATCTGTTTGCAGTATTATTCATACACAGAAATGTTTGGTGCCAATAATTTTAAAGTACAGGTTGATGTAAAAGAATATTCTAAATATGAAATTGAGTATATTTGTATTGGGAGAAGAGCTGTTGCATACTTTCTAATGAAAGATTTTGAATGTGTAATTTTATTTAACTATTTAAGTACATAACCTAAGTTAATTTGTTATATGTAATATATGAATTTCCTGTATCCTGAAAGAACTGAGACTGAACTGTATCAGTCTTGCCAAACCTGTTTATTTTCAAGGAAAGCTATGTAATTATTCTGCATAACTGAGTATACTCAATAGTTTATAGGTTTTTCTAGTGCATGACAGAATATTTTAGGCTACAGTAATGCCTCTTACTTAGCTACGGACTAGAAAAACAATCAGTTTCGCTCAAAATCCCAAATTAATCAAAATTTGTGATGGACTTTAGTTAAGTTACTGGTCAATAGATGGTGCCACTAAGCTACAAAAATTTTTTAGGTTATATAGAGGAGTTTAAGACGTAGTGATACGAATTCGCAGTCATGCTATGTGTTATCTCTCTTTTTTCATTTAATATATATCCAAGGCGTATTCGAAAACTAAGTACCGTTTAAAAAAAAAAAAAAAACAGTAAAACAATTTTTTCGAATCCAATTTTATTTTTACATGAAAATACGTGTCTTAAACTATTTTTCAACATAGTTTTCCGCCGATGATCAAACACTTGTCATAGCGGGTGACCAGTTTTTGTATAACCTCGTCAAGAAACTTCCCGCCAGTTTTGATAACCACGACTCCACAGCATTTTTTGTGTCATCGTCAGATCCAAAGCGCTTGCCACCAAGCTTGCGCTTCATGTGCAGGAACAAGTGATAGTCGGACGGCACCAAGTCCGGGCTGTACGGCGGTTGATCGAACTGCTCCCAATGAAACTGTCGAATTAACGATTGAGTGACACCAGCAGTATGGGGCCGAGCATTGTCATGGAGCAGCACAATTCTTTTAATGAGCATTCCTCTTCGTCTGTTTTGAATGGCACGCCTTAGCTTTGTTAAAGTCTCACAATATCGTGCTGCATTAATGGTTTCACCTCTGGGAAGAAATTCAGTAAGCAAAACGCCTTTCCTATCCCAGAAGACAGTGCACATGATTTTTTGTGATGACATTGTCACTTGGAACTTTTGTTTTTTCGGAGAATGAGTGTGTCTCCACTCCATCGATTGTTGTTTCGATTCTGGTGTGAAATGACACACCCAAGTTTCATCACCTGTCACAATTTGGTTTAAAAAGTTTTCTCCCTCATCACTGTACCACGTGAGAAATGTCAGGGCACTACCAAGTCGCTTTGCTTTGTGAACAACAGTGAGCATTTTTGGAACCCATCGGGAACACAGTTTGCGATAATTCAAGCGGTCAGACACAATTTCGAACAAAACAGCATGTGAAATTTGTGGAAATGCCTCTGAAAGAGTTGTCATTGTGAAGCGTCTGTTCTCATGAATTGCTTCATCAACTTTCCTTACCAAATCATTGGTGACAACAGAAGGCCGACCACTCCGAGCTTCGGCGTGGACATTTGTTCGACCTGCATTAAACATTCTTACCCACTTTCTCACCATTCCATCACTTATCGCATATTCACCGTAAACTTCTGTCACTTGACGATAAATTTCGGCCG